TATATAGATCTATATAGATCTATATAGATCTATATAGATCTATATATATATATAGATATAGATCGATCTATATATAGATCTCTATAGATCTAGAGATCTATAGATCTAGATCGAGATCGATCTCTATATATATATAGATAGATCGATCTCTATATATATCTATATATATATCTATCGGCAAGAAAACGTCTATTAGTTTCTCTGTTGAGTGTCGATATGAAAAATATAGATTTTTGCAGCTTTTTAAAACAAGATAGAATCAGCCGATGAGAGAGAACGAAGTCTTAAAAAGAACAAAACAAGTTTCATTTTACAGAAGAAAACTGCATTTACTAAATAAAAACAACTTTGTCCTCTGTTTCTCATAATTACAAAATTGTTATTAATTATAAAAAGTACGACATCTTTATTTTCGATTTATACGAAATACTTTTCACATAAGAAAAAAACTGAGCCTTATGTTAAATATGTTAAAATATCTTTATTTAGTTTTACTTAATTGGTTCATAACTCTGAAACACATTTAAAACGACTTAATGTCGTTCTTGTGAGAAGTTACAAAATCTGTTATTATAAAAAAAAACTCATAATTACGACTTTTTGTTGTGAATATTAAATTTGTATCGTGATTGAGTCAAAATTATAAAAGCAGTAAAATCTGTTCAGTATTTATAAAAAGAAACTGTCGGAGATCTAAACTCTCACTTTAACAAATGTCTTAATTTATTTTCTTCATTAAATCCTTTGATGTCGAGTTGCCACAGAAAAACAAAACATGACAAAAACGAGATCGGCCGATGACGTCAGAGGATTTCTGTTGATTTGTGAATCAAATTAGTTTTCTATTTTTTTCTATATATATTTTTTTTGGTTAAGTTTTCATCCCCAACAAAAAAACTAAAAACGTAAACACAATTCAGCACTGAATGAATTCCAGTATTCTGACACTTAAAGGTCGCAACATTTCAAAACATCAAATAAAACACAGGACCAAAATATTAAACAAAATTACAGGAAAAAAAATTTTTGCAGTCTGAACACTGATGTGTGTGTGTGTGAGAGAGAGAGTGTGAGTGAGAGAGAGAGAGAGAGAGAGAGAGAGATCGCAGGTGTTTTTTTAAAGCTGTGATGCGTTACTGTTAGCTGTTGGCGTAGCCACGCGGGGTTTGGTTGATGACATCAGCTACGAGTCGGACGAACCTCTGTTGCCGTCGACCAATAGGATTGGTAGGATCCTTATTTGTTTATTGGTTTTCTTTGTTTGTTTTTTTTATGACAATTGTCTGCTGTCGTCTGCGAACCGACCAATCACAGTGAAGGATTGTGTCAACACAGGAACAATAAAGTTTTATCCTTTCAAAGCTGAACTTTTAACGTGTGTTGTTGAAAATGTCCCACAATCTAATTGGCTGGAAGGACAGATTGTGGGCGGAGCTTGCAGCAACCGAGGACAGCCATTGGTTGCCAGATTATTTATTTATTCAGTGACTCATGCTACAATTTCCTGTCTGACTTTCAGAATAAATAAAAATTCAATCAAGCACAGAAAGCCCCCCCACCCATCATGCACTGGTTTGATATTAAAAATGTTTAATATAACAATCGTCCTATCTGTTCCCACAATGCACCACAAGTACTTAACATTCATTTGCGTAGAAAAACAATGGATACATTCAGGTACAAAACAGTTCAGTGTTAAAGGGAAATAAAAATGTCAACATAAATTTCGGGAGAGAACTTCAAACCAGCCCGTTCAGATATTCTCAATTTAAAAACGTTCTAATTAACTTAAAATACATTTAAAGTTTAAGAAAATATATTTTCAATAATTGTAAATACTTATGAGACAGTTTTATGTTTTCATGTCTTCATGTTACAAGTAAAAATACTTGTTTCACATATAACAGTACATATTAATAACATGTGGCAGGTATGCAACGTAAATAAATAAAACTTGTACTTGTTACATGTTGCAACTGTTTATGAACATGTAACATGTTACACAAGGGTACAAAGTAATTCAAATGTAACATGTTAAATACTCACAACTACACATCACAATACATGTGTTCTTTCATGTTACAAGTGAAGTAAGTCAAAGACAAGTGTTTTAAAATTAAAGTATTATAACATAACATGAACCTTGTCACATATAACTAGTATTTTAATGTTTATACAAGTTTGTCCTGTTTCAATACTACGCTTGACAATACCTGTATTTTAGCAGGTAGTTTAAGATACTACATACTGTAATGTAATTTATATAAGAAACAAGTATAATACATTGCAAGTAAAAACTTATAGTTAGTATACAAGTGAAGGATTTACTTGTATCTATATACGTCTAACACGTATGTAACGTGTATTGTCAGAAGTATTGTACCAAGTATTCTTCGATGTGTGTAACATACAACTTTAGTATTTAACATGTAAAAAGTATTGTGTAACAAGTAACATGTTCCAGGTAGTAGCTTACAAATTGCAAGTATTGTAAGAATGTGAGACACAAGTTTAACTTGTATTTAACATGTTACAGTACTTACAATTACACGGGTAAGTATAGTCACCTGTTACATAAGTGTGTAACGTAGAAGTGGTCATTTAAAAATAACCATAGTTGTAACGTCTACACTTGTAAATTGTTAACACACTTCATAACACATGAGTAATGTAACGTCAAATGAACATGTTACAATGTAGCAAGTGTGACGTCACATTAACGTGTTACAATGTAACAAGTGTTTTTTGTTTTAAAACATAAAATATTTTCAACAGTTTTTCTTGCAGCAAATCTTGCCAACAACAGTTTCATGAAGTTCTGAAATGCATGCTGGGAAATCTAACACAGAGTGGGCGGAACTATGTGAGTTAAAACCTTCAGTTGGCTTCCTTTGGTCTTAATTGATTGTTGTTTTGATTGATGGAATGGGCGGGGCTACATGCAGATGGGGGCGTGGTTATATGGAAAGTTGTAAATGTCACATTGAATTCTTGGACATCCCGACACCTGTAGTCCTGAAACAGGATGTGACGTCACGAAAAAAATACATTCACTTCATGTGAAACAAGTAACTTTTTTAAGTAAAGACATGAAAACATAAACAATTACAAAACTGTACGTTAAAACAGTAGAAACTTGGATACTTGGAAGAATTTAAAAACAAACATTTTGGAAAGCCATTTAAACAGGAAGTGATGTCATAATGAGAGACTGAGTTGGTCCAATTAAAAGGCGCACACACACTTTGGCTTGGTTTGACCCCCCCCACCCACTTCTCAAAGCTTCCAAATCACCACATTCAATTTGAAAAATGCTTTTTGAAGTTTCCCGAAATGTGACCTTTTTCTGCTGTTACAAAATGATTACGTAACATTTTTAAATTTTTTTATGAACATATAACAAAAACCAAACAATTCAATTTAAATAAAAAAACAATATTTTGAATCGTTTTTGCTGTAACAAATAAATTACCAAATTAAAAACTTAAATATGTTTAATAATGTCACGCTGTATTTTAGCTTCCTGTTTTTTTTGTGGCTTATTTCCTGTTTACAGAAAATCATTGACACCAAACCCCCCCCCAAATGTTTAATTAACTAGAGATTTAAAAAAACAAGAGCTGGATTTGAATTAAATATTTTATTTAATAGAAAAAAGGGAAAAGAGAAGATCAACCAATCACAGCTCAGCTTGTTACACACATACACACAAATCATACAGATGTATAAATACACACACGCAGGACATTGAAAGCTTTACTATGTCATGTTGTACAGTATAAACACATTCCTGATTAAAAAACACTCCCAATATACGACAGAAAACACAAAATGATTCTCAACTGAAATGAACTTAAATCAAAAGTCGTCGTCAACACAAACCGCCACCAACACTCGACATGAACTCGACGTGAACTCTCCAGCAGATTAATTAAAAACAGAATAATTGATAGAAATAAGGCACAGGAGACAGTTTGTCCACAACCGTAGTAATAATAATTTAAGCCAATCAGACGGCAGAGTGAGAATTCTCTTTGCAAAAACTGCTAATTTAAACAATTTTTGTTTCAGAAGTTGAAAAGGCAGTTTACAATTTAAATTTAAACAATAAAAAAGGTTAAAAACCTCAATGATTTGAAAATTATAACATAATCTCAATAAATAACTTAAATTTACTGATGTTATTTCTGTTCATGCTGAGTAGCTTTAAATATAAAAAGATGATATATTTCCATAATATCTCTTTTTTTAAACTCATTAACACATTAATTTAACATTCAGACGAAAAACAGTTCAGCTCACATTAGCGGCTCATGTTGGACTCCGTTACCCACAATGCATTGCTACTGGTAGCTCAGTCTGCTCAGGAATGTGCTGTGTAACCTCTGTAACCGTGGCGACCCCCCTGTGTGTTTTGATATCATCCGTCACTGTGATGTCAGAGTGTTTGTAGGCACAGAAAGCTCTCTCATTGGTCCATTTGTTCCCACCGTGGGCCAATCAGAAGCCCTGAAGCAGTCAACAGTAGGAGGAGACTCGGAGGTCAGATGGGGGACTTGGAGAAGGAGACTCGGTGGTCAAATGGTGGACTTGGAGAAGGAGACTCGGTGGTCAGATGGGGGACTTAGAGAAGGAGACTCGGTGGTCAAATGGTGGACTTGGAGAAGGAGACTTCGTGGTCAGATGGTGGACTTGGAGAAGGAGACTCGGAGGTCAGATGGGGGACTTGGAGAAGGAGACTCGGTGGTCAAATGGTGGACTTGGAGAAGGAGACTTCGTGGTCAGATGGGGGACTTGGAGAAGGAGACTCGGAGGTCAGATGGGGGACTTGGAGAAGGAGACTCGGAGGTCAGATGGGGGACTTGGAGAAGGAGACTCGGAGGTCAGATGGTGGACTTGGAGAAGGAGACTCGGAGGTCAGATGGGGGACTTAGAGAAGGAGACTCGGTGGTCAAATGGTGGACTTGGAGAAGGAGACTTCGTGGTCAGATGGTGGACTTGGAGAAGGAGACTTCGTGGTCAGATGGTGGACTTGGAGAAGGAGACTCGGAGGTGCTGGTTGTGGTCCAGCTGGTGGTCGTGCAGAGCGATCAGAGCCTCGATGGCTTCCTCCACAGACGCCAGCTGCATCAGAGCCATCTTCCTGTCCTTCCTGTGACAGAGGAAGTGACATCATTACGTTCAGCTCACATTTCTTAATTTAAAAGGACTTGTTTTGCAGGTCTTGTTACTCACTGGAAGAACTTGAAGGCTTTGACTGTGAACCCTCCGGAGGAGAACAGATCCTTTAGCACCTCCTCGCTGACCGACGACCTGCAGACGAAGACGGAAAGTTTAAATATGTCGACGTCACGACTGTTTAGAAAACAGATATTTATCTCTTTGTTCTGGCCTCTCGTCCGTATACGAGGAAATATAAGTATATAAATAAATATATACGTAAACAGATTTCTGAGGATTTTTAAATGTCTTCTAAAGGAAACGACGTGTCTTCAGTTCTAACGTGTTGCTTTGTGTCATGAGCCAGAAACAGCAGACTGCTGTGTTGTAATGTTGAGGCTCATTTATAATGTAATACTTTAAATCTGATAAAATCTCACAATCAGTTCAAAATGTAAAAGAACACGAGTGCATGACATAACACGTTTTATTTACTTAAATGATGCAATAACTTCAGCCCATGGTGTCGGTTGTTACACCATGTTTATAATGTAACTCTTACGTTATTAACCTCTGTTATTATTAAATTACACAAATCTGTATAAATTAATGAATTAATAAGAAGCTACGGTTTGATTTTTTAACATTACGGAGGAGAAGGACAAAGATAAATTATTAAAATGAAGAAAGATTATTTGTCTTTAAATGGAGGAGTAAATCGTCGCATGGGGGTCGGGATCAGTGCCCATGGACTGGCAGACCGGGGTGGTGGTTCCCATCTTCAAAAAGGGGGACCGGAGAGTGTGCTCGAATTACCGGGGTATCACACTACTCAGCCTCCCGGGGAAGGCTTATGCCAGGGTGCTGGAAAGGAGGCTCCGACCGCTTGTCGAACCTCAGATTCAAGAGGAGCAGTGCGGATTCCGTCCGGGCTGTGGAACAGTGGACCAGCTCTTTACCCTCGCAAGACTACTGGAGGGGTTCTGGGAGTTTGCCCAACCAGTGTACATGTGCTTTGTGGACTTGGAGAAGGCTTTCGACCGGGTCCCTCGGGGGGTCTTGTGGGGGGTGCTGCGGGAGTACAGGGTGCCGGACCCGTTACAACGGGCGATCCGGTCTCTGTACGACTGCAGTAGGAGCTGTGTCCGCATTCTCTGTAATACGTCAGACACGTTCCCGGTGGGTGTTGGCCTCCGCCAGGGCTGCCCTTTGTCTCCGGTCCTGTTCGTGACTTTCATGGACAGGATATCTAGGCGCAGCCTGGGGGCGGAGAACGTCAGGTTCGGGGGTCTCGGGATCGCCTCTCTGCTGTTTGCAGATGATGTGGTCCTGTTAGCCTCCTCGGATCGTGACCTCCAGCATTCACTGGGGCGGTTTGCAGC